AGGTGGGTGAAGGCACAAGCAGAAGTGGTGCGTGACAGCAGTGCTATGGGCCATCTCACCCCAGCTTTGGAGCACCAACGTAGCAGGTGGGAAAGTGTGGGAGGCCAGCGCTGTGCCAGCACCAGCCAGCTGCACCTTCAGCCCCTCCTGGTTTTGCCTCCGGCTTGAAAAAGATGCTGTCAAGACACAAGGTACGTGTTTATTGCTTGCTTTGATCTCAGCTGCTCCTCTTCCTTTGATTTCACAGTGCTGACAACGTTTGCTGCACCCTGACAGAAGTTCCGTGAATATTCAATGCTGCCACAGTAATGAAGATATTAAATATAAAAGATTCTTCATGCCACAGCTCTAGCCTACAAACGGAAGTTATCCTAGTCAGAGTGGATGGGACAGAACCAGGAAGGCGCTGTGGGCACTAACATTGCAGGAGATTTTCTCAGGGCAAGGAAAGCATTCAAGGTATCTTCCTGGATTGGGCCTTCATTTCTGAAGTTATTTTGAGCTGTTTCAACACATGGATAGAAATTAAAACGATGACAACAGCACCATCTGCTCCAGCTACTGCCACACCACTGTGGCTGGCATCGCTCTTGCAGCGACGGAAAGCCTGTCCTGGGGAAAAAGCCAATTCAGAGGAATTTTCTTAGGGAGCACTATTTCACCTCCACAGGTTCCAAGCCTGCGGAACTCCTGGCTGCCAAGATTGCCGATGCAGAAGTGGTCTACAGTGTGGTACAGCAGGGAGGCTTCCACCACTGCCACAAGGAACAGGGAGGGAACGGAGAGGGAGTCCAGGCAGCTGGGTTAAGCAGCGATGCTGACTGCCCTCAGCGGTGGCGAGCAGCTCAGGGTCAGCATCTCAGATGTGCACGTGCAGAAGCAGGCGTTACCAGCTCGCCTGAAAAGCCACAGCTTACCACTGCAGTAGGAATACAGGTCCCTACGCGCTCCAGTGACAAACCATCACTGCCCAGTTTGCCCACAGTGCTTGTTTCACTAAGCCATTGCTTTCAGCCACTTGACACCCAAAGTGGGCAACAAACACCCTTTGGCCCCGCAGCATCCAGTTCCAGCATCCCAAAGATGACGGACAGCACTCGGGACGCAGCAGGCTGCCTTACCAGGACCGTCTCTCTATAAATACAGGGGAAGAGGAAAGCCACATGTTCCTGGCACACTGGTTTCTTACCCTAGAAAGAAACAAACACGCCAGATCTTGCAAACATGCACGTTTTGGGGGCTTTAGCTGGACTTGTCCCCACCCCAGCAGTCACTATGCAGCACGACAGGGCTCAGAGACAGTGATTTTAGCTTCTGTCCAGCCTTTCTGCATTATTTTTGCTTTTCATGACTAAAAGACACTGCAGATGAGGTCAGAAGTCAGACTGCCTTTCCTGAATGTCCTTTTTTTTTTTAGGCCAAAAGACACAAACAATAAGACATTCATCAAGCATTTCTGCCACGCTTACATCTCCCTTCTCATGTTATTGCCTAACAGTAGAAAAAACACTGTTCCCTCAAAATGTTCACAACAGTATTTATTAAAAACTAAAAGCAGCATTTTTGTTTAATTAAATCTGTATCAGAAGGGGCAGTAAGAAGACAAATGCAGAAAAAAAAAAATCCAAATCTGGAGGAGCTCAAGAAAAAAACCCACATCAACAGGAGAGCCCAGCCTAGGGAGGAACGCATTGTTCAACTCCCGAGTGAGAGGGCAGGGACTGGGAGACGCCAGCCAAGGCAGTGAGCGATGGGGAAGCGGGTGGAAGGCACCCCAAGAGGCTCCCACCTCACTGAGCGCCGGGAAGTTGCTGCCCCGTCGCAGGCAGTGGCTGATCAGACTGCTCATGGGCTGCCACCGTTCTGCCGAGGGTACTGGTGCCTGGTTTAGCTCCAGATTTCATACACCACGCCACGAAAAGCAAGCGAGAAGGTGCAGTGGGAGACGGTAGCATCTCCCGGTACCCAGCACAAGTTGGCAGAATTTGAGAGCCAAAGCTCTTGCTTCTAAAACAAAAACCCAACCGAAGCTGCATTTGTACCTTTATTTTTCATAACAAGGGAGCACAGTTTGAACCATGCTGAGGCACCAGACAAACAAGGATTTTCAAGTAAGGATGAACAGCAAATAAAAACCTTTATACACAAAAGACATCCCTACTGAGCACTCGGGTGTCTCCCTCCAGCCGGTCTTTGCCCCGTTTGGGCCACTCGGGACGACAATCGGGTAGCAGTCGGTCTTGCCTTGATTCTAGTTTTATCAAGCCGATGGGCAGATTTGCGACAAAAAGCAGATGCGGGCAGCATGAACAGTGACAATCCACATGGGAACCCAGACCATAAATTCAGCCAGAGAGTTGGAAAACCATTTTTCTCCTCCCAACTCAAAGGCTAAAGGAGGAGCACATTTTTAAAAAAATAAATAAATAAAAAAATCAGAATCCATGTGCATTTCATCCTCCCCAGGAATTAGCTGGAAGCCCAGTTGATGCCCATCTTCCTTTCCACAGGGATGAAGAGTAGAAATTGTCCAAATTTAAGACTGCCCCAAGCCGAGGAATTCAGGCCCAATCTTCCCCAGTATATTTGTTAAAAATAAATGAGGTGTAGTCAGCCTCCTCGGGGATTTTATCCCCTTTCAGCTCCAAATGCAGCTCTGCTGTCACATGTATGATATGTATAAAAGGACAGCCTGCTTTAGAGCCTTACTTGCTTAAAATAATATTGCTCCTGGTCTCAGGTTACGAGGGATCCATTCATGCTCGTAAGGTCACAGGCTCTCTAAATCAGTAATACAAAGGCTGGAATAAATAGGGTTGATGGTATTTCAGCAGTGCTGCTTTTTATTGTAGTGCATGAATAGAGACAGACTATTTGAAGCGGCTCTGACCACACCTAGAGCCACAGCGCTTTGTCATTCGTGATCGAGAGAGGCAGAGAGCAGCCTACTGCCGGTGGGAGACGCTGGCTTCTGTTCTCGCGCCGACGTCAGGCAGCAGCAAAGCCCACCCCACTGCGGCCCGACAGCTTCGCCCGTTTTCACAGATGGGAACCGTTTGGGGCATTTCTCTCCCCGCAGACCACAGGACTTTAATGCCTTGCAACCCTTACTGAGTTGCAGAACACATTTCACACACGCTGATCTCCCTCCAGCACCACCCAGGTATGCCCAGCTCCCTCTTGCTGAGGAGGACTTTCCAGTGTTTCACCCAGGCCATTTCAAGCTATTTTGGCACAAACATTGGTAAGGTGCTTTTCGTCTGCACACAAAGACTGTTAAAACCGCAGCACAGGATTCTTCCGTTTCAGAACTTAAGCACCAAGAGGCTCTTGGATGTTGATAGAGCAAACACACCCAGGGAGTCAAAACTCCCTCCATAAGGGGAGTGCACGAGCAACAATAACTAAAAAAACATGCTTTGGAGCAGAGCACGGACCTCAGACAGCCGTCACAGCAAACCCTGTTATTAGACACAATAAAAGCAGTGACATATTTGAGAGATTAAGCATTAATAAGTGCCTTCACATTAAACAGTATTCATGACTCTCTTTCCCCTCTCGCCTGCAGGAACCTGGGGGAAGGGAGGGAGCTGGCAAGGTAATTCAGCTAACACTAAAACGGGGGAAAGGCAAAACTCACGCAAAGTAGGCTACAAAAGCATAAAATAAGGAGGCAGTGATGACAGCTCAGCAGTGCTGCAGGCGAGGGGTTCCCAGTGCTGCAGCCCAGTCCATCCTGCAGGCCGCTGGGCCCCATTTTGCTCTCAGCAGGTCCAGTCGCCGAGCTCTTGCCCAAGGCTCTTAAGGCCAGGCAAGCACCGGCTGCCTCAGCGAAGAG